GCCCCGCCGACGGGAGGGGCGTGAAGTTTCGGGGGCACAGGGCAAAAGTCCGGCTCCCCCGGGGTCTTCTGCCATGGGGCCGGGTTGGAGGTACAGGGCGGGGGGGGCGGGGGGAATGCTTTTCCCCGCGAGAATGAAGGGGACGCGTGGGAAGCGGCACAGGAGTGGATGCGCAAGGCGGGAGCTGGGCGAGGGGTGGATTTTTGGGACGGGTCGCAGCTCGGCGGGGTTTCGGCTGCTCCGTCTCCCCTAGGGTTATCGGGGGATTACGCGGGTACGGCTGGCATCGCCTCCCCGACCTTCCTCCAGGGCAAAGGATGGAGAAAGGGGCTTTGAGGACCAGAGTCACCTCCCTCGGCCGGCTCCGCTCGCAGGGGATGGGGAAATTTGTCCCCGCCAGCCTGCGGCGTGCTCGCGGGGGGGACCGGTGACTCAGCCGGCCGAGGGGGTGGTGACGAGGCTCCTGGCTCCCGCTCGGGCTCCGTGGGCGAGGGCCGCCAGGCACCCGCCGACGGAGCGCCCGGCTCTGCCGCCACCCCGCCGGGGGCTCCGCTGGCCCCGTCTAACCCTGGCTGCAGCGGGAGCTCCTGGGGAAGGTGAAGAGTTTGCGGCAGAAATGTCTCCCTACTGACATAAAAAAAAAAAGAGGATGGGAGGAGGGCTGAGCCAGCCCTGACACTAGCTGTTCTCCAAAACGGCAGCTGCCTGACTCCAAGTCACAAACCGTGGCATCAGGATGGGGAGCTGAAAAACCTCCATCTTTACTTATGCACCAGGGTCTCAGTAGGGTTTTTCCAGCCTTGAAGGAACCCGCTCACCCATGGGTGGTGCTGAACGCCGTGTGGGCACTGGGGCTGGAGGGGCTGGAGCGTCCCTGGAGCCCATCAGGGAGTTGCGTTCCCAGCAGGCATTTCAGGACTTGCTATTTTGGCTCTTCCCTGCACCTTCATGTTGGCTGTTTCCATTATACCGACTCGGTTGTTTCTGGGCATCCCGGCTCAAAGCCCTTTGACTTTTCCCAGACACCACTGCCAGGCTGGAGGAGAAGCTCGCCCATGTCAAGAAGTATGAGACGGTGACACCACACAAGGTGCTGGCAGCTCGAGGGAAGAGGGACTTCTCTGCACCACCAGTGAGTAGCATTGCCTCCCCTCGCTGCCTTTCACGGAGTCCATGGATGGGGGGGGGGGCGTTACAGTCAGCAGAGACCCTTGGCCCATCACTGGGCTCAAAGCTGGAACCCCTTGGCCCACCACTGGGCTCGGAGCTGAACCCTCTTAGCCCTGTGCCAGAAGAATGGCCTGGTGCACATTTTCTTGCATTGCTTCCATCCCAGAGGATGGAGATCTTGGAGTAGTTGGTCAGATCAGGTTTCCTGGCCTGTTTTGGGTCAAAATAGGAACTGCAGATAGCAGGGTGGACTCTTGGAGAGGGGAGGGTGCTTTTTCCAATGCTTGCTTTGGAGACGTTACCCAGCGGTGCCACCTCTTGCAGCCTTGCAGTGATCTTGTGACATCTCATGTTTGCTTAAAGAGGGATTTGCAAAGCCTCATTGAGCTGTAAGCATTTTTCTTGCTGCGTTTGCTGAAGTTGGGTTTTTTGGCCCTTTGGGACAGGGAAATAAGAATCAGAAAGTTGCAGAAACCACATGAAAGAAAGGCAGTGTTATTTTTCTTGGGAAACCTTGTAATTTGGGGGAAGGAATGGGGTTTGACTCAGAAGTTTTGAGTGCTTGGGGTTGACGTCCATAGGATGATGGCGTTGACCTCAAAGATACTTTCCTCATTGCCTTAAAGTGAAATTCAGCCAAATACATGGATTCATTTTCTAGGACTGAAAAGCACCGACTTTAGCACCTGTTGAGATGGATGGGCTGGGGACATTTATTTCCTAGTAAACTCTTCGCACAGCACATTCATCTGTGATTCAAACCCTTTCTGATAAACTAGCTTCAAAAAACACTCCCCGAAAGCATCTGTTTTCTCTGCTCTAGAAACCTAAACTTGTTCACGAGATAAACATTCCCCAGGCTATTTAGAGACACCATCTGTGCTGGGCGGCTCTGCACCGATCCCCCCGGAAAGGGGAGCTCAGCCATCTCGGGGTCCCTCTGCTTTCCACAGCATGGGAGAAGACATCTGCCTTGAGCTATGTACTTTGGGACAGCCATGGGTGGTGTCTGCCGGGTGGCACCTGGATTCGGTCTTGGATTGGGCAGTCCTCGGACCTCCCAGACTTGCTGTGTTGAGGGTATGAGGTCTCCTCCCTTTCAAGCCATTTTCCTCCTCTTCCACAAAAGTTGGGTTTGCTCTCCTAGTAACCTTGGTGGGGAAGAGGTTCTCAGCAAGTCTTGACCACCACCAAGCCCCTCTTTGAAGTGGAGACAAGTAGCTGGATGGGTGTTTTCTGCATCAGCTCCTCCTGTGGCTTTGCATTAGCAGTCTCTGGCTGAGATGGGCATGGGCCAAGAGCTGGTTCCTGGGTCAGAGCAGTTAGGACACATGGGGCTGGTCCGGCAGAGCGTCTGCCAGGTGAGGTTTGAAGCAGATCTGCTCCCCTCTGGCTTTGCTTAAATCAAAATGTTCAGCCCTGGAGACAGGGTGGAGACCTGGGTCCCACAGCACAGGATCTCCTGGTATGCCAGCCTCCCCACAGGCCATGGTCTTCTCTTCCCACCTGCCCTTAGCAGGGACATGTGACAAGCCTGGGTTCTTCATGGAAAGGCACCTGAAAAAAAGAGCAAGAAGGGCCTTCAAAAAGATTTCTATTTACATGCTCTTGATATTGCAGATGTGACCTCTCTCTCTTATCCCCATGCTCCAGCGTCTCAAAAAGCTGTATTGAAATGGGAGGGTGGTTTCCAGCCCATGTAATACCCTGCGTTGCAAGCTGCTGGCTTCTCCCCCAGTGCACCTGTGCTTGCACATCCCTGCTGATCTCCCCCACTGCATCCTAGAGTCAGTTGATGCAAAGAGGCCAGTTCTTTGCCTAGGTGGAGACAGCCCAGCTCTTGCTGGCCCAGCCTGGGGCTCTGCAGGAAGCAGCAGGACGTTGCAGAGCAAGTGGTGGGGCCAGATGGAGCAGAAGCAAGGGATGGTGGTGGCCTAGCAACCCACCTTCTTTTCCTCCTCTCTTGTGCTGCACCTCCTCTGATACATGGCATGGTGCAATGAGCCCCATCCCTACTGTCCTAGAGAGACCCGTTGCCTCTTCCCACCCAGAGAAGAAATACCCTGTGCTGGGGTGAGATGGCATTGTCCTGATCCTCTGCAAGCTCTCTGAGTATCTTATTAAGACCAGCTGGAAGAAATCCCTCCTGTGCGCTGTGGCCACAGATCTGCTTTGCTTACTCAGCATGGTCATGGGGTTAGCAGGGCTTGGGCTGGGGCAGGGCTGAGCTGCCTGCGCTTTCAAAGCTTTTCCATCTGGAGCCCTTGCAAAGCCCATGCTAATAAGGAAGGGGGTGATTCAGAGAAGCTTTATCAGGACTTTTTTTTTTTTTTACTTGCCCTGCGGTTGTCTCCAAGAGATGGTCCCTGACCTACCAAACCCTTCCAAGTGCCTTCCTGCCATTTCTTAAGACCTCTTTCTGGCTCTGGCGCTGCCAACAATAACAAAGCATTGCTTTGTCAGTGGACATGGGATCAGATGGACATGTCAGGCAGCAGACGCTGTTCATAAGAGAAGAATTTTCCAGGGACCAATGAGTGCGCCTGCATGCCAGCAGCGCACTCGCCTGCAGCTGGGGCTGCCTGGCCACCCAGCAGGCTTGTTGTAACCTGCTCAGCAGGCAGAGAGGATGTTTCATGGCCAGCAGCCCATCACTTCAGATTGGAAGTGCAAACTGGGTAGAATTGAGGGCAATAGACTGATGGGCAAACCCTCTTACCTGGCCCTGCTGGTGCTGAGTCAGCAGGACTTTCTGCTCAGCCCCAGCTCCTGCCAGGTTGCAGATCATCCCCCTGGGAGTGCTGAGCCATTGTATGACAGCAGGTGCTGTCATCCTCCCCAGGAAGAGGCCGCACACCTCATCTGGGAGGAATGCTGGCCCTGCGGGAGACACTTGCTTTGCCTTTTGCTCAATTCTCCAACCCTGGGATCCCATAAGAGCTGAAGATGTGTCCTCAGGAGACGTCTCTGTTCTGTGGTGGTGGCTGAGGAGATCCCTGGTGCCAAGGGTGCAGCCTGATACAGGGCACCATGCAAGGGATTATCATCTCTTTCTCGGTGGCCCTGGTGGGACAGGACCGCTGGAGGTCTGTGGCCCAACCTCTGCAGATGGAGATCACAAGACATCTCAGAGGGAACCACTTCTTCTAGAGGGACATCTCCATCCTGGGGCTTCAGGGCTCAGCTGAGCTGAGCCAGTCACCCTGACCCAGCCATAGTGACTGGAGGTTGGACTTGAGAGGCGTTGAGGTCCCTTCCACCAGCACTAGCATGATGCTCAGGGGATATGGCACATGGTGATACTGAAATCTACTCTCAGTAGCAGACAAGAACCAAAAGAAGGTTGTTCTCTAACTGTGATGTTGCATGTTAGATCAGTCAGAGATAAGGAAGTCTCTGCTGATGAGAGCCGTTGGGCACCGGGGATCTTTGTGAGTAAGTGCTGAACTCAGTCTTCAAAAAAAGGAGCTTTGTGATTGATGAGTAGGAAACCTCAGTTTCTGGCACGGCCATCTGCAGCCATGTGTCAGACATGAGAAGTCAGATTTTGCTGACTCTGTTTCATTGCTGGTGACCTGTTCTTTATCTCAGGATGTGCTGGGCATTTGTGTTATTGCCCACATGCTTTCTTTCTTCTCTTCTGACTTCCCGTGTCTTTGCTGGATGCCTCCAGGGTGAGCAGCCAGGCTCCCCATCCTGCAGCCACCTTCCAGCAGGGTACATGCAGACCCCATACCCTTTCTGGGCAGGTCCTCTCTTCTGTAGCACTTGCTCCTGGTGACAGTGGGTCTGTGCTGTCATCTATCTTTCATGCAGAGCACCTACCCAGATCGTGTCCTCTACAGCGTCCGTGCTGAAGGCAGAGACTACCTGCTGCGGCTGGAGAAGAACAAGTGAGTGTGGGTGGGCATAGTGGGACAGCCAGGGGGAGGCTTGATTTCTGCCCTTGCCATGAACATAATTTATCCAAGGTCTGGCATCACCACACCGGCAATCTAAGCCCTCAGCCCAGACCCTTGCTAGCAAAATATTGCATTTTTTCCCTCCTTGCCAAACCCACTTGGGGAAGTTATGGGCCCACCATACCCAACCTGACCAACCTCATCCCCAAAGCTTTCCATTCTCTCCCCAAAACTGGGGTCACTGCTAATGCCCCTTCCCTATCCTGCAGGGAGCTGCTGGGACAGCACTACACTGAGACGCATTACTCAGCTGATGGCACAGAGATCACGGAGAAGCCGGACATTCAGGTACGGGGCTGGCTCTGGGGAGAGCAGTTTTCCCTCTCCTGTGGGGTCCCACCATGCCAACAGCTGGTGCAGACCCCCTTTACACGTCTCCTCTCTCTCGGTGGCAGGATCACTGTTTTTATCAGGGCAGTGTGCAAGGATATGCCGACTCAGCAGTGAGCATCAGCACCTGCAGTGGGCTCAGGTAGGACCTTCAATTCCCCCAGGGCACTGCAGCTGACCGGAGGACAGCATCAAGCCTGGCCTGCTCCTGGCAGATGCGGTGCTGCGTAACAGTGAGCCGGTGTGACCAAGCCCTGGCCAGCCGGATCTGTGCTGATGGAGGGAGAGCTCAGCTTTCCCCTGAGGAAGAGAAGAAGACATTCCTTTTCCTGCTGGCGGTGGGAGTGCTGACTGCCCTGGCTTGGCGCCCAGCAGGAAAGGCGTGCGGTGTTTTGCAGCTAAGCCATTTTTGGGAGGGTTGACTCATGGCATGGGATGAGACTAGAAACCTGAGCATGGGAAGAGGTCCGGGCAGGAGTGGGCAGCAAGGCACGGCTTGTCCTGGATCCGTCCTCTCTTCCCAGGGCAGACTGGACCAAACTTGCCCTGAGTGCTGCAGCCAGTGGCACAAAGGTGTGCTTGTGGCAATGCACTGGCTTGCAGGCAGCCAGCATCTCCTCTTGGGCGGGCGACAGCGCAAAAGC